GACAACTAGAATCAAAGAAGATGACAAGAACGATAAAATTTCTTAGGAGTTATTCTGTAGGGAGCGGCTATAGGGTTAAGTCTCGGACTGACCTGTGGCAGGGCCACAAACAAGTCCCAGCTTGGAGGGCAGAGCTCTCCTAGCATAATTAAGCTTGACCTTATAGTCCTCCCTTGCTCCTTCCTAGGTAGTTAATGGGCTGTGGGAGGTGCAGCAAGTGCTGCTAAAACAAGGTGAAACTCACAAGAACATTGTAAACATGTTGACCACTACCCTTGTTTTGCTTTGTGTTTTCTGACTATTAAATAAAGACTCAGCTTGCAGGCTGTGGCTCTGTCTCTCCATCAGAGAAGCAGCGTCCCATGGAGCCCCAGCTGTATTCTCGTCTGTCTTCTTTAAATCCTTCACCACCCCGCCTCAGGCTCACCGAACCTGCCTGTGCTGGATGCGGCACATAATTCATGTTGAGAAGGTAAGTGGAGGCACTTGCTGAAATGGATAGAAAATTGAGGGGTTACCAAACTGAAAACCAAATAGTCAGGAGCTGGTGAAGCTGAAGAAATAAATTCAATTTAAAAGGAAGAAAGGTTTCCTGTTGCTAATATGCTTTTAAAAGAAAATGAAGAATGAACTTGATGAGCATGGTCCTGTTTATCTACTCAGAGGCCCTATGAAAGTCCCTACGAAGAGAGGAGGAGAAAGTTCAACTCTAAGAGCCATACATTTAGGAAACTTTCTGTTGAACTCACAGAGCTGAGGTGCTACTTTATGAAGCAAATATTCAAGAAGTTTAAAAAGTGATTTAGAGAGACAGTTTAACGTATACATTTGATGGGTTACAAGCCAAGGTTTTCATAGTTTTAAAATTCTGAAGATGTCCAAGGGGCACATGACTTCAGACTTCTCATTTCTGCGGTACTATAGACCTTTTACGGGAATCAGAATTCCATAGGAGTAATGTACCCGTAGAAGGGAAAATAATGGCCACCTCCAGAAGTCCATGCTCAAATCCCTGGACTCTGAACATGTTACCTGCAGATCTGATGAAATTAAGGATTTTGAGATGAGATCGCCCTGGATTACCCAGGTGGGCTCAATCCAATCTAATCACATGAGTCCTGAAAACTGAAGAGCCTTTCCTGGTTGGGGTCAGAAAAGAGAGATGATAATGAAAGCAGGTTCAGAGAGATGCTACCTTGCTGGCTCTGAGGATGGAGGGAGGGGCCCACAGCTTCTGAAAGCTAGAAAAGGCAAGAAAAAACAGACCTTGATTCTGTCCCAGTGAAAATAAATGTGTGTTGTTTTAAGGCCACTAAGATTGTGGTAATTTGTTATAGCAGCAATAAGGAAAAAAATACAGTATCTGTCAGGTAAACTTACAGTATCTGTTAGGTAAAAATGTAAGACTGTCATGTTAACCTTAAACACTTGCAAAGGCCCGAGAAGAGGAAGCCTGTAAACACACACGCTGCATTAGCCTGTGATCTTAGGTCCTGAGCATAAATCCATTAAACACAGAATTCCATGTATATGTTCTTCTAAACATCAGTGAAATTCACAGACAACTGGTTGTGGAGGGTGATCTCCAGAACCCTCTACTCTATAGCCCACAAAAATTATCCCATTAATTAAGCCAAAGCCATTTGACCAGAGACCCGTGGCAAACTGTCAGAAACAGTCTACAAAATACATGTTGAGACAGAAACATCATGACTCTTTCAAAAACAGTTGGGCCGTTGTTTTTACATTCGGTATTCAAAATTTACATTCAATTAAATACAAGCGTAAATCTCTGCAGACACTGCTGAAGTGGAGCCACATCTGGATATTCCTGCATTTTGTTTTTTTTTGAAAAAACGCTTTCAATTCTACTTTTGGTGTGAATTGTTTCCAAAGGTGTCTTCATATGGACTTGAACAATGATCCTGAGCAATCAACATGAGCAAGTTTCTGGCAGAAGTCCTCAACAAAGCCAAGACAAACGAATGCAAATCACTGTCATTGTTCGCAAGGTTGGCACTGCTCTTGTTGGAAGCAAAGGCAAACAGAAGACATTTCACTGAGGATCCCATTTCCCTGGTGTGCTAAAGCTGACTTTTTAAAGTCACTGAGTGGGTAAAGCTGTATCCTTACATTTAGGCCAATCAGAATATAAAACTTCAGATTTCATAAAAAAGATTGTTGTTTCACCCAAGGTTCCACTAGAATTTAAAAAACAGGGCTCCCTGGATGTAATTAAAATATTTCCGTTTATGGACAACTTTAAAGAGCACATCAATCAAAGGGTATTCCATTAAAACAGTGGTGTGATTTGTTTGCCTATTATGTCCCAGTGCTCTCCAGAGAGGAGGACGTCTCTACCATTACGGGACCGCCCTAAGTCTTCTGAATTCACTAGGGAATGCTTTACGCAGGAGGAAGACTGCACATGCTAGTTCGGGGGCTGCCACCATAATGTCTGCAGTGGGAAAGCCTGCTGTTGTTCTGTTGACATCTCACACTCAAGGTGCTTAGGAAAACATCACACCATTTGGCAAAAACATCCTGTGGCTGAATCAGCAGATTTAATGGGAAGTTCCTATGTGTAAGCCATTTGTATACAGACCTGGGTTCTGGAGAGAGAGGTTTGTTTGACATAAAACAAGAAACAACAGTTTTAATGTACAACTAAATTTGCCTGTCTGTGGGAATACCTTTAAATATCTTTGGTTTTTTTTTTTTTTTAAATTTCGCTGATAAAAAGTACTTGAATAAAAACACTGATAAATACCAATATAACAGTATTGCTTTTAATTATGTAAACTCAGCCCTTTGATATATTTTGCTACTAAAGCTAGATTCCCTATCAGCCTCTAAATAAATTTATTTCAAATCTGCTCATCTTTACTTACTTACAGGCTAATCTATATATTTTAATGGTCTTTGGTATGAAAATACTGATGAGCAGTATCTTGTAATATTTGGCATAAAAATGACATGCATCAATCAGTACTTACGGCAAATAAGTCGTCGGAAATGAAAATAGTTACCATTTGCATATTAGCCCCTTTGGAGTGAAATACCATGAGGTAACACCACTATGAGAGATAAGTGAGAACCTTCACATATTAGTTACAATTTCATACTTAAGGCTTCAAAGAAGCTAGCTTTGGCCAAGTAAAAACAAGTCTTTTGCAGTACACTATCTTATTCAATGAGACCAAAATATTTCTCTTTGGTGAAAAGATTTTTTTTTTCTCTCCAACAAGTAGTTTCAACAATTTAAAAATACTGTAATACTGTATAGTTGAAGATTTACTTGCTGAAGGAAAAAAAAAAAAACTACACTTGAAATTCTTTGGAACTTTCAGCTGGTAAAGAACTTATTTTAAATGCTCTGGTAACAATAAGGTAGTTAAATTTACTAGTCTATTTAACTACAACAATCAATGTAAACCCTATTATTTTGGGTTAGTAACTACTTGTGTAAGCTTCATTAACTATAGATGTTTCTAGTTAATTCAATCTGTGGGGGAAATTATAGTTAAAATTTCACTCTATACCGAAAATTCTTTGGTAACAGGATTATTGTGAAAAAAAATTGTATAGGACCAAAACGAAAAGGTGACAAACTAAGAAATGTACTGGTAAATAATTAGCAAATAGTTATAGCCTAAAGGATCTACAATATCTATGGGCCTATTAATAAAAAAACACAAAACAAAGTACTTTCCTCGACTTCAGCATCTGTCTAGGCTTTTAAAATGATTCAAATTCATACAGCCCTAGACACATCTTCCATAACCAGGATGAATGATGTTTCAGCTTTAGGTTTTGTTTATCTTTTAATGAAAGTTTTAAAAAGTAACACGAACTCATTGTACTCTTTAATATTAGATACTGAGAAAAGGAGGCCCCACATACTTCTACTTACAAACCAAAAAGCACCATACCCTGTCAATTTGCCCATGCTTCCATGAGGCAGCTCAAAAGCAACAAAATGTTCCCTGAGTACAGGAAAAAAAAATAACACTAGAATAACTTTAAAAGGAGGTAGTATAAAACAGGAGCTACACAGGCAGGAGCAGCATCTTTCCTTGCCTCAGATTGTTCACCTAAAGCTCTGCTTTGTTGTTGTTGTTTTGTCATAACGCCCATACTTAGAAAGCTAAATGGGGACTTTGAATTTAGTTCAGAAGTGGCTGCTGGCACTTAATGTTGGTCTGCTTCTGAACACATCCAGTTTGGCACAAAACTAGAGAAAAAACAATTTAAAAATGTGTTCTTTCAAATTCATCAGATATTGGGATGGGAGATGCTAGAGGTGGGCTATTACCCAGTAATATTATTTTGATTTTTAGAACATTATTTAACATAATTCCCCCTTTACAAACCAAAGGTTTCAAGGGGAAACACATTAAGATTCCTTCTAAAGTGAGGCTCAAAAGTCAGTTCCAGATGATTTGAAAAAATACTTTTAAAGGGATATGGGCCCCTCTCTACACACCACTGTATCCTTTCCCACTGATGGCACCTAGTAGGTAACTATCTCATGACTGAGAGAAGGCCTATTCTATGTGGCTGAGTAAACAGTTTTGCTGATTTCAAACCAGCAAGAGGATTAACTCACTCCCGAAGTTAGCATTCCTCATTCACAGCATTGACACTGAAGGAAGATTACATAAAAAGTACCAAATTCTCTTAAGAATTCATGCAAAGACAAGTAAGGCGGGAGAGCTCTGAATACTTATCCCTAAATAAAACCTGCAGGATAACAAGCCAAAATGCTCTGATAAGATACTGTACATCAAAATAGTTCCTGATGAAACCCTCGACAGTCTTAAGGCAACTTTCTGTACTCTTGTCCTGAACAACCTCATGAATATTAAAAAGATATAAGGCGAAGACTTTCATCATACATAATGGAAGGCACCGTTACCATGATAACCTCACGTTCACTTTACCGTCTACTGTTGCATTTATCTTCATTTTTAACATTTTATGAAATTTCTTTACCCCTTTAAGCCAAGCTGGGATTTTAAAAAGCAAAATAAAACCCTACCCATTCTCTTTAAGAATCTGTTTTCTGCATGGAGTTTTGCTATTAAGTCTGGAAAGGTTGAGGATGCTTTGCAAACTAGACAGTTCAGCCTTTGGCTAACTGTCAGGCAAAGGGGAGGTAGAAAAGGCACAGCTCTAGGCAGGCTGAGGGTTGGGATACAGCAGGTAAAGCACTCAGACTAATGTCTGAAGCAGAAAGGCCCTTGAAGCAATAGTCTTCTCTAGAAGCTACCAAATAGTTCTATTCTCAAGAGAAGCACTTTTTGTCTTGGTCACTCACTAAAATCAACAGTCCCACTTTTTCTCTTCTCAGTGGTTTCACAGTCTTGACAGTGAGAGGTGTTAAATTATAAAGATCGTGCAGATGCCAGTTTTTTGTTTTTTTAAATCAGAGCTTCAGATAAACATTCTTACTCATCTACCTATGTGACTCCTTCGATCACACACATTACATACACATACAGCAATGAAAACAAAATGCTACTAGGAAGTATCATTGGTTATGTAGCTGAGAGAAACTAGCACAACAAATGAGGTAACAAGGTTGTCTTCTAAGTCTGCCATCTGGCAAACTGAGGTAGATAGCTAGCAAAGGGGCTTTCAAAAGTCTTCCCTTTGCTCCAGTGATATATTTTTATAATCCAGTCAAATATCTTGACTGTCTTTTCACATTGCTGACAATGAAACATTCAAAATACGCGAGTTTAAAAACAAAAGAAAACACATTCCAAAAAAAAAAAAGCTGAAATACCCAATAAGACATCAAGATTTTCACAAAAGGCTTTGGCTCCCTGTTCATTGTCCTTCGAACAGAATTAAAGGTGAGAATGCCTGAGCTTGGCTGCCTAGACTGGGGAATCATTTTTATCAAACCTTAGCACGGCAGGTGGCGGCTGCAGAACTGAAGAGGCAGTTTGCTGGGCATCTGCCGCCACTGCAGGGTCTCGGCACTTCCTCCTGGAGAGATTCCCACCTGAATCACTGCCAGCGAGGGAATCGGAGGTCAGGGGTGTGGTGCTTATAACCGAAGACAGGTGTATCTCATCATTGGACTCGTGAGAGAACCTTCCAGAATCCCCGGTCTCGTGGCTGCCTTCACTATTGGCTGAATGTTCAGTATCGGCTGCAACACCAAATGGTCTTGGGAAGCTGGCTGTCTGACCTGGGGAGCCGGGGGAGTCTTCATCACTAATTAACACAGTCGTGCCTGGCTGGTAGAAGCAGACCGATTGAGTAAATCTTCTTTGAGGCTAGGCAAAAATACATAAAACACTATCAGTGATGATGGAATGCTCCTGGAAAAGAGTAAGTCCGTTGTTACATATTCTATCTATTCTGAGACAGCAAACTGTTGGAATACCTGGGTGAAAGGTTATCATCATGAAGGGACTGTCTAGGTCGGCGGTTCCCCACTGAGGAAGGGGTGGGGGTGGGGGGGGGCACATCGGAATTACTGGAGTAAGTGAAGTGCCAAAGGCTTCCTCAGTGATTTGGATGCAAACTCCTGCCCCACCCCTTTCGCCACTGCCCTCCACTCCCCACTGGAAACCACAGTTCTAATTACTATTCCAACTGTCATTTCAGTGATCACTCCTCACGACTTTTCCATGGAGTCGTGCCCCAAATTAATAAAAGGACACACAGAAAGAACATGAGAACGAAAGCATTCATTTACATTTTCCTCTCTTTTTAACTACCATTTCATACACCATGGGTTGCCAAAGATTTTTCTCATTAAGGTGGGTTACCTGCTCAACTTTTATCTTCTTAGAACCTTGGAAAAAACGCCACTTTTTCTTAGAGTTGTTTTTAATTATAGGGCCATAGCTATTAATGATCAGGTCAGTTCCTCCCTGGATAAATAAAGGGGAAAATAAAGTATTATATATTTCAGTTTATCGCAAGTAATGCCCCAAATTTTTAAATGTTAAGAGAAAACGATCACAGATATTACTATTTCTTCTTTTACATAGCAGCATACAACAAATTCAGAGTAGTTGTTAGTGATCAAAAAGATATTAGGTTTATCCTTAAAAGAGGGGGAGGGGGAGAGAAGAGAGAGAGGAGAGAAACATCCACGTGAGAGAGACACATTGATTGGTTGCTTCCGCATCAATGTTTCTCTTTCTCTCTGTTTCTTCCCCACCCTTCCACTCTCTAAAAATCAATGGGAAAGTGTCCTAGGGTGAGGATTACAACAAACAAACAAAACAACAGGCCATGGACTGGCCTGGGCTTGGCTGTAGTTTCCTGACACCTGGGTTATAGCACATTGGTTATGAGAGCTATTATAATAATGTACACTATACACTATGTAATGTTGCAATGCGACTAAAAATAATTCCAGTTGCTATTCATAATGCTTATCACTGTACTATTATTACAGATAGTGGAAAGGACATAAAGTAACATCCCAATGACATTCTACCAACCTAAGTACACAATGAATTAGTAAAAAATTGTCCACCCAGTAAATTCAGGGCAATTCAATTTATCGTAAATATAGAGTAATGATCATGGTGTCCTTATTGAAGACATTTTAGCTCCATATAATCCCATCTAATTGAATTTATGCTACCTTCTCTTTTTTTCTACATCTCTTTCATCTTTAGTTCTTTTATATACCCTATGTTCTTCTCTCCAAATATTTGCTGTAAGGAAGGATCTGGGTAAAACTGCTTCACATTTCATTAGGTGGAGTATGGATGTAATACATTTGACATGCAATTTTTTGCTAAGTAAATTTTACACATAAAGAGAAGATGAATGGAGGGAAGGATTACGCACGCAGCACATCGGTTCCCTAGCTTGCAGTACCTTTGCATCAATGAAGCTGGTGGGCATCTTCATTGGTATTAAGGAATCTTCATTTTCTACAGCCCCTTCCAGGTTCTTTCCTACTTCATTTCCACCGGCTAGTGAGGCACTGGTTCGAGATAACAGTTGAGTTCCATTCTGTGCCATCTTGGAAGCAGATGACCTCCTGGAATATTTCAAGGAAAGGAACTCTAATTTCATAGGAGATACAGGCAAATGTACCAAATTTGGCCTATAATCACAACTTTGCACACAATAAAGTTCTTTAATGTTTGCTTCTCAAATGCCTTTAAGAACTGAGTATGAGATTTTAACTCCAACTCACTGCTGAAAATGTTTATGACTTAAGAAAGCTTCTTTACTTCTTTTTGTCCCAATATCTGGTTATGTATACTTTTAACAAACGCCTAATAAAAGCCTTAATAGTTATAAACTACTATGTTTTATTATTGTTGATTATTTACAGTTTATGCATAAATTACAGTTTTTAATTTACATGTTCTCTTTCAGGTCTATAGATTGTCACACTAACATCACATTTCACTTGCCAATTAATGATGGCAAATTTACAGTAGCACTTCTGCAAGATTTAGGCATCACTAAAAGACGATGCATAAAGGTTTTTATAAAAATATTCTTAAAGTGAGAAACCCGGACCGTAAGACTAAGTCAAATCAATATACAAAAATACATTAGCACTAACTCTTCATTAATATGTTTTCCTAGTCAAGTACCAAACACATATAGAGTCAACTCTGAACAAACTAGGCAGATGAAGGGAGTGTTGAGGCACATTACCTAAAAATGATATGTATTTGGCTTTGCTTTTTTTTTTTTTAATTTACAAAAGGATCTTAAGAAAGTAAATTAAAGCAAAAGCCAAAGTATATAAAAGGTTAGAAACAGACAAGTTCACTGAATGCTGAGAATTTAGCTGAAGTCAAATTACAGATGAGATTGCCTGACAGAGTTCACAGAAAATCAATCCGTAGTTATTACATTTGTTTTCATCCATGTTCAGAGAGACCCAACCATCTGTTCTGTGGTGGTGCAGGAGGAGCTCTCAGTGACTCAAGCTTCTCAGGCTACTTAAATGTGAAAATATTCCAGGGAGTATGGAATCCTCTTATCAGCAGATTTATCAGTTTGTGTCACTTTTTTATTTTTATGTCTCTGGAAAGCAGCCATGCACAAAAATGACTCATTGTCACTGTATCGCAAATAACCCAACAGACCCCAAGCTTAAAAAAACTGAGTGAGTTTAGTCTTGTCTTCGAATCCAAGCTCATTAGTTTTCAGTCTCCTTAGAACCACTTCTCTTTTGGACATCTTTAATCTGCTGATATATTTAGGTCTGAGCAAGCATTTTTGTAGGCTGGGAGGTAAATGAATAGGGCAAACATGTCAAACTCGCAGCCCGTGGGCCACATGCGACCCACAATGAATATTTTTGCAGCCCAGCCAATATAACGGTATGTAAGAAACGTTTTAATAAAATTTTCATAACTTAATTTTTACAATATCCTGTTATACATAATTATTAATAACTACAAGGTTCGCCAATGACCGATTACTGTAATCTTGTTGCATTCATTTCCCTTACGTGCCTTATGTGCAGGCGCACCCTTTCTCCCCACTAATACTAGCAGCGAATATTTTAGCAGCTGATGGCCACATCATTGTCTTGTTTGGTGTGCGTAACAGGAAATATTTTGCTTTTGGAGAATAAGAAAAATAGGTTTATTTGCGTTATGCTTATTAATCAGTGCAGTTATTCAAATGTGTGGTAAGTTAATGTTCAAGAAAAAATATTAATTTTTATTAAAATGTTCTATTTTATGTTAACGATTACTTGTTTATTTCAGCCCTTTGTATTCAGCATGTCTCTATAGAAATAAACCTATGTTTCTATGAAAATTGAAACTTTTGTTTTTTTGCGGCCCACATAAATTTAAACCTTGTTTATTTGTCCCATGTTAGTCTTTAAATTTGACATGCTTGGAATAGAGCAATACTTTCTATCCAGTCATCTCCCTTAGCCTGTGTTTTGATGTCCCAGAGTTTAATGAACAGAACAGGGAAGCTACCCTGAACTGAACTCAACACTTTTTAAAACTAAAGAATATACTTAGTGTTTCTCAAAATACTAAGGATATAGCCCTCGCCGGTTTGGCTCTGTGGTCAGAGTGTTGGCCCTCGGACCAAAGGATCAGGGTTTGATTCGTGATAAAGGGCATGTACCTGGGTTGCAAGCCCAATCCCAGCCTGGATCAGGGCATGTCTCTCGCACATTGATGTTTCTTTCTCTCTCTTGCCCCTCCCTCCCTTCCACTCTCTCTAAAAATCAATTAAAAATATTCTCAGGTGAGTATTAACCAATAAAATAAAATAAAATTTTACTTAAAAGAAACCAACCACCAAGGATATAAAGAAGCTAGGTTTTCATTAGGAATATTTCATTGACATAGTACATTTTTCAAATGGCAAGAAAGTAATTTTCCAAAGTGTGCATATCTCTATAGCTCTAAGAGAACTCAAGTAATAATGTATTTATTTTAAAGTGGAAAAGCCCAATTACTCTAAAAGGCATTTGGTTTCAATTTGCTTCTTGTGGTCACTGTAATTTAAATGTTATTTTAACCACCTCAACATCTCTAGCAATGGAAACACACCTGGCTTTACTTCGGTATATCAAGATGAGAACACAGATGAGGATGCAGGTCAAGGCTATGCCAACACCTACAGCAATGCCAGTCATGGATTTCTGGTCCAGATGGTAATAGCCTGAATAAACTAGAAGGGGAAACACATTTGCTTACAATCAATTTAAAAAATCCATGATTCCATTTATCGTAATTCTCAGACAGGTATTTGCTTTTCTATAATTTTCCTTCCTCTCATAGGAAAACCTTTGACACTTCTGTGTCTAAGCAGAAAAGACACATATTATACTTTTATCAGCGATCTCAGAAAGATTGGTTTATCTTCCCATAGTGAGGATTCTAAATATGAGTTCGAGATATTGTATTATTATATCAAACATGAGCATCAGTTTATCATTTATAATGCACAGCTGTTCCTTGATGGACCAAAGGAGAGCGCTCATGTCATATTATCTTAAAAGCATAGCTGTATTAGCTTAGCTTTCCATTTATGTATTTGCTCTGCAGTTGCTTCTCAAACTCTAAGGTGCATATGCTTCCCGAGGGGATATGTTAAAACGCAGATTCTGACTCACTACTTCTGGAGTGGGGGCTGAGATTCTGCGTGCGTGTTTTATAAGCTCCTGGGTGATACTCGTGCTGCTGGTGCTGTGACACTTGGAGCAGTGAGGCATCTGAGGTGTGAATATGAGCCTTACTCTCTCTTTCCCCTGATAACAGGGTAGCTACTGTGACTACCTGCTTCCTGGGCTTAAATCTGACTGCCCTCTCCTTTTTCCTTTCTCTCCTTCCCTGGGTGTGTTTCTTTCTCATTTTCTTTCTCTCTCTCTCTCTCTCTCTCTTTCTCTCTCTCTCTCTCTCTCTCTCTCTCTCTCCTCACCCCTC